ATCTTTCTTTCCTTTTCTTTTTAACTGTTCAGTAATTGCGGGATTGAAGGAGAAATTCGATGAGGCGACCAGGAGAAGTGATGTCAAAGCTATTGTTTTAACCGGTAAATTTCCAGATTTTAAATCAAATTCAATAAAATCTGTTTTCTTTCTTTCTTTTTTTTTAATGATTATCTTATGTTAGAATTTTTATTGTAAGGTTAGGCATGTTAATTATTGGAACTCTCTTTACTGATTTTATTTATTATTATTATTATTTGAATTGGTTAATGAAGGCAAGGGAGGAAGGTTCTCTGGTGGTTTTGATATCAATGTTTTCCAGAAAGTTCACGGAACCGGTATGAGCTAGTTCGTTAGCTATTTAGACTCTTTGCAGTTTTTGTTGCGGTTAATTTTACTAATTTACAAGTAATTACTGAAACTTACTTAATGAGAAGTGGAAATTTACAATCAGTACTTTTTTGCTGGTTAAACAGGTGATATATCGATTATGCCTGATGTATCCGTTGATCTTGTTGTTAATGCAATGGAAGGTCTTTCCTCATCCTTTTACTTATATTAAATGTTTTGTGAAGTTATTAATTACTGATTTTTTTTCCTTTTACTTTTATTTATGATCCTCTTATGCCGTTCTGTTTTGGTCATTTCCTTTTTTTGCTCAAACTGTTTTGGTCATTTCAGATTGTAAGAAGCCTCTCGTGGCAGCTGTTGAAGGATTGGCTCTTGGAGGTGGCTTAGAATTAGCAATGGTTTGTTGTTTTCTCTGTTGAGTAGTAGTTTTTTTTGTGTTTAACTTCTGCGAACAATTTTTTTTTGTTTGTACAGTTGTCTTATCCTTGTTATTCATATTGCAGGGTTGCCATGCACGTATTGCTGCTCCTAGAGCTCAACTTGGCTTGCCAGAGTTGTCCCTTGGAGTGATTCCTGGGTTTGGAGGTATTGTCACTAGTATATGTTGATAAAAATATTTGCAGATGTGCAGTTGTTCTGAGTTTGGAATTTGGATAACTGCTAGTTTGGACTTTACCAGCATTGACTGATTTCTCATGCTATGGCTTTTTCACAAGGCACACAACGTCTTCCAAGGCTTATAGGGCTGTCAAAGGCCATTGAAATGATGCTGGTAACACTTCCTGTCTGTGATGCCTTTTGAAATTTTAATGGCTTGTTAACCTATTTGGCCTATTATTAATGGCTTGTAATTATTTGCCTTGTCATTTACCTATCCATGACTATAAAAAGGGAGGTGGGGTGAGAGAGAGGTATTGCTTGGCACATTAAAAGGTCCTGGCATTAATTGCATTTGCTACTAGAGTTAGAAAACTTTGTTATTAGGTTTTTATTCTTTTGCTTTAAACTAGTTGCTGGACAAATTGCGTGGCTTAATTTAAATTTAGTTTCCAACTAAGATTTTTTTTTTATGAAAAGATGTTTAAATAATTATTCATGGTTAAAACCAATAATTGGATTTAATTTTCCTTCAATGGTTCTAATAGCATGATAGGGCGAAACAGCGAATCTACATGTGTTCTTTATCATAAGCCACTAAGCTGATGCTATAACCTTCACCATTGAAACTTTATCTCTAAAATGCTTTTCATTGTTAATGGTTATGGAGTCATTTTCTTTTCTCTTAGTAAATCTAATTCATATATATGTATAATATCTTTGCAGTTATCCAAACCAATCATGTCTGAAGAAGGGAAGAAGCTGGGTCTTATTGATGCTATTGTCCCTTCTGAAGAGTTACTGAAAGTTTCTCGCAGATGGGCTTTAGACATTGCAGAGAGACGTAAACCATGGTTGCGTTCCCTTCACAGAACGGACAAGATTGGGTCCCTCTCTGAAGCACGCGAAGTTTTAAGAACTGCAAGACAACAAGCAAAAAAGACTGCCCCAAATTTGCCTCAGCATCAGGCATGTCTAGATGTAATCGAGGAGG